TGACGAATCAATCCAAAGGATTAGATGAGTCGTTAGAGTATTACGAACAAAGACGTCGGATATCGAGCTTAGAGCGTCGAGATCGAGCGTCGCAAGTCGAGTCGAATTTGGAATTCGACGAGACGTAAAATCAATCGAGTTACAAGTACGTGCCTAGCCGTAGCCTCGCATTGGCCTAGCCATGTGAGTGCTAGGCTAGGCAAACCCCATCGCAAGCCTAGTATGCTAGGCATGCTAGGCGCATGATGTTGGCCAGCCATGGCAGCCCCACACCATCGCATAGCAGCATGCTATGTTGTGCATGGTGCTGGGCGCTGACAGCCTAGCTAGCATGCTGGGCGCTGGCAGCCTAGCTAGCACGCTGGGCGCTAGCAGCCTTGCTAGCATGCTAGACGCTGGCAGCAGCAGCACATGGCAGCCTAGTGCTTCGCAGCATCGCAAGCAACACATGCACCAGACAGCAGCGTGCTAGGCATGCTGGGCAGTGTGTGTGTGCGTGTGCCTCGCGTAGTAGCGTGCTAGGCTCATGCGTGCAAGGCTACGCATGGTGCTAGGAAATGGCGCCCCCCAGCAGCCAGCCTCTCGCAAGCACGCATCATCGCAGGGCTGGGCCTTGCTAGCAATGCGGGCTGTGCGTGAGAGAGTTGGGATGGGCGTATTGCGGGGTTAGCACTAGCATGGGCGAGCATCCTTGCCAGGCAGCGCCCAACACACGCCATGCCACAGCAGCAGCTCGCATACTGTGCGTAGCTTGCTGGCTGTGCGCATGCTTGTGCTGGCTGGCTTGCTAGCATAGCCTAGGCACCAGGCGCCAGCAAGGCTTCCTTGGCAGCCAGCTGTCCCAGCTACATGGTGGATACGGTTTGAGGTGAGGGAACCAAGGCTTGTGGGAATTGCCTTGGCCATCAAGGCAATGGTCCCCCCCTTCTTGGAATGGTCCTCACCTAACCATTCTTCCTCCATTTGACACTTGTAACTCATTGATTGCATTGTTCATTAATTTATTTTTGATTAAAATAAATTAGTAGGAAAATGCAATTCTCCCACATGGATGGGAGAAGGGAGATTCAAGTCTCCTTTCCCTATAAATACCCAAGTTTGGGTTTTGGGAAAAACTACTTGAGTTGAACTCAATGAGGCATCTCCCTTAAGGTGAGAAAACCTCTAAGTTCGTAATACTCTAGTCTTTCTTGGTCTAGCCCCGACTAACCTTCGGGGTAGGGGTCGTTCGGGTCGGGTCTCGAGGGTGGACTCCGTTGGAGGCCGTCGCACTTGCGAGGCTAGAGCTTTCGAAGTAAGAGCTCGATTTGCGAGCGAAGCACGCATCGAGGGTATAGCTTCTCTCTCTCTTCTTTTAATTATTGCTTAATTATGTTTATGCTTGTTTAATTGCTTTAGTTATCGGGGCGGGTCTTGGGGGGTTTCTTTTCCGCATAGTGAGGGTCACTACGAAACCCTACAAAATTCTTTTAATAGTTGGTGCAAATCTGCACCTAACTTTGCAAAAGCAACCGTCCCCACTTTTACAGTTCGTTCCGGACGGATGTCATCTAGAACAATGTCAATATTTTCACCGGCCGGCTGGGGACTGAGATCATCTGATCGTTCCCCGATTAGTGATTGCTAAAGCTTCTCTTTTTTTACGGCCACCAGGTGGTCCGCCTTTCTGTTTTTGTCGGCTGATTTGGGAGCAGGTGCGGCTTCCTTGAAGTCATCAAGGTCGATGGGTTCCTCGCCTTGGCCAGCTGCGGCCACGGTAGGCTTGACGTCTGAGAGATAACACTCCCTAGCCGTCTTCTGATCCCCGTTCAGGGAACCCACTGACCCTTCATCCCTTTCAAATTTGATCAGCATGAAGGATGGGATGATGACTGCCTTGGACTCGTTGAGGGTTGGACGGCCCAGAATCAGATTGTAGGCGGTCAATTCCTCGACCACCAAGAACTTGGCGACCATGTGTCGTCGTTCCCCCTTCTCTCCTAGCCGGATGGGCAGGTCAATCCTCCCCACCGGATGCACTACCCCTCCCCCAAAGCCAACTAGGGGGTGAGAAGCCTTGTGCATGCTGCTAGGCTTGTACTTGAGCTTTTCCAAGCATTGATAGCTGGCTAGGTGAGACGAGCTCCTTGTATCAATAAGGATCCGGCCTACTCGTTGGTTGACAACTTTACATTCGATGACTATAGGGTCATCGTGAGGCCGTCTGACCTTGCCTCGATCCTTCTCAGAGATGAGGACCTCAGGGAAGGTGTCTTTCGACGCCTGACCCTCATCCACTGAGTTGACCAGCTTCCGGATGTTGTCCTTGGTACCCCGGATGGTAGGACCCCCTCCCTCAAAGCCGCCTGCTACGGTAAAGATTTTCTCTTCATCGGTGTCAGAGCTCACAGCCAGCTTCTTGGATGGTTGTCCATTGTTTGTTTTGGGGTTACCCTTAGACTTCACCATATAGGACTTCAAAGCCCCCTCATCAGCCAGACGGTCCAATAGCCGCCTGAGGCTATAGCAGCCATTGGTGTCATAGCTGATATCCTCATGGAATAGACAGTACTTGCTGTTGTCCCGGCTGTTGATGGGACTCTTCATTGCTGCCGGTTTTTCAATGGTCAACCGGTCTTTGATCTCCATGAGGATGGAGGAGCAGTCCTTGTTGAACTCGTACTTGGGGACGTACGGCTTCAACTCTCTCTTTTTCTTCTGGGACGGCTGACCAAAGCGGTCCGCCGCCCAAACTTCTTTTCTTTTCTTGTTGTCTTCTTTTTTGGTCGGCTGAGCAAACCGGCTCTCTTTCCTATCGGACCTTCTAGGTTTCGACGAGTGCTTGATGGAACAGAGCTCAGTCGCCTGTATGTAGGCTTCGGCTTCCATCAACACCTCCTGGAGGGTAGCAACCCTCTTTCGGACCAGGTCAAACTTAAAGGTCAACCCGTCTTTCAGACCCTTAAAGAAGTCTGTATAGGAAACTTCGTCAGACAACCCTTGAATCTGAATTCTCATCAGATTGAACCGCCTGAAATAGGACCGTAGTCCCTCCTTGTCTCCCTGCTGAATAGCCTCTAAGTCGAGACTTGTCTTTTTGGCAGGGATGTTCATGGAGAAGTTGTACGCAAACAGGTTTGCAAGCGTCTTGAAGTTGTTGATGCATCCGGCTAGCAGATTGCCAAACCATCGTTGGGCTATGCCCTTCAATGTTGCTGGGAAGCATCGGCACCAGGCGGCATCATCCAACCCCTGCAGGTACATGAGGTTGGTGTACACCATTAGATGGTCTTCCGGGTTGGTGGTACCGTCGTAGGTACCGACCAACACATTCTTAACCTTGGCCGGCTGAGCCGCCTCAGTTATCTCCCTGGAGAACACCGACGGCTGTTCCCCAAGGTTTAGCAGCCGGAGCTGCCAGTCCATGGGCTGGACCTGCTGTGCCGCCGGTCCCCCAAAGAGGGTCGGCTGCATGTATGGTGATCCATACGGTATGTATGGCTGTTGGGGCACATACGGAGCCGGCTGGATAATCTAAGGGCCAGTACGTGCGGACATGCCGCGTGACTGACTATCTCGATTTGTCTCCGAATACTTCATTGAAGTATTACGGAAACTGTCTGGGTAAGTCGACATGGAGGCCGACTCAGACATTTGTTGACTTCTCTTCTCCTGGATGAACATCCGGGCGTCAGAGTAAGTCTTTTATGACCCATCCGGCTGAACTTGTCGGATGGCCTTCCTTTGCCCTAATTCAGGGAAACGAACTCTGGATAAATCGATCAGGGGCCCATCCGCCCCCTTTGTTTTAGGGTGAAGAGTAAGCACCCGATCTTCGATGTGCTTCTTCCCGGAGGGAGAAGGCTTCTTGGCCGACTGACGCTTGTTGGAGCCAGTAGACTGCTTTATTATGTCCTTGATTTCCCCTTTGAAACTCGTCATGAATTTCATGAGCTCGTCTCTGGTGATGGGGGTTGTACCCTCCGCCGCCTGGGGTTGCCCAGCAGGCTTGCCGACTGGGTTGCTGGGACCAGCTTTGTCTTCGCCCCATTCCCTTGTTTCTTTGGAACGGGTGCGCCTAGTTCGAAATGACCCGTCTAGGGCCACATAGGTGTCGACCTCAAAGTCGTCACCACTATCCTGGTCCGTATGGACCTCAGGTTCGGCCGTAGGCTGCTTTCCCTCACCAGGCGGTACAGAATCGGATGCCATCTCGGAAGTACTCTCCCCACAGGACGGCGCCAAACGTTACGGGGTTTTTGGAGTCCCTTAGGAGAGTTACAATTCCGGGAATGCGCGTCGACCGTCTGTACCTGCAAAACCACGAAACTCCGGTTGGGTGGAGTTCCGCCTCCGACGATCAAGTTAGAACGTTTCCAGATGTATTAAAGTGCGAAATATAAAGATTTTTCTCTCTAATTCAGAGAGAATTCTACAATTAATATTGCTCGGTTTTTTGTGTTTGTATATATGAATATGTAATAAATGAGGATTTTCCTCTATTTATAGTGGAAGGGGATCAGTTCCCCATTTAGGGTTACGATGCCACGTATCAGCAGAGGATTGGATCCCATTAGACCACTCTGAGGCTGACACGTGTCAGTATGCAATTGGACCACGTGGCATAGGGTAATTTTTTACCCTACACAATATCCAAGCTTTGGTTATCCTTGTACTAACTAAGCAAGCTCTCAAACTTCATATCTAAATCTAGATCACACGACCATCAGATTACAGATTACTTAACATGTTTCCTAAACTACAAATATATATTTCATCTTGTTTCACCTTATATCAATCTCTTTTGACCTCAAACAAATATTTCATCTTGGTACACCTTATTGCCAACTCTTTTGACCTCAAATTGGTATTGCATTACTTCTTTCCAACATCCCTATTTATTAAAATTTATTACTTAAAAATTGCAAAATAAAGTCAAAAAAATTGTTAAATGATGACATACAATTATAGAAAATTTTCCAACACCTTGAATTTTACAACCAAGAAGGCACCATGTAGAATTTCTTCTATATTCAATTTATTGTTCAATATTACAAAATCAACATATAATGAGCTATTTAATTGTAAGAAAATAATAATCAATTGGTATTTCTTCTTTCTAATAACAAAGAGCTCATAAAAAAAATCTATGTTACAACTGAAGCTTCAATAAAAGAGGTGGCACAATGGAGTTTTTAATCTAAGTTATCGATGTTATGTCGATTCACCCACCCGCCAATCCACAGCCGGAAGTCATGAATTCTACTATATCAAGCCTGTGTGAAGTCCATGTTGAAACAAGACGGATTACATGGAAATGGGCAATCAACTCGCTTTGCCAGTTCCTTGTTGAAATACCAATCACCTACAGTCTCTGCAATTGTCTATTGAAGGAAGACGGATAAAATTGAGATCAGTCTATTTGGTTTTGAAAAATATCAACATGATCAACAGACCACACAAAAACAGTAGCTTCACATTTACAATTATACATTGAACCTGATGATTTGCACATTTAACATATTATTTTGCGCATTTAACATAATAATTTGTCATTGCCCAATGTGACAACAAACAGATGAAGATTTCATTGGGTAAAGGGCATATATACAAAATCACTGACAATCATAATAAAATTATGACATCGTAGCAAACTAGATGTATGCCTCCTATGGTCCTACCCACATTATATAGCTACACGCCTACACATTAGCAATTAGACAATTAATTTCTAAGCTGCCCAAACAAGTGGATGGAACTTAGCTTGATTGGTAGTCTAGGGGGGTACTCAAAATTTTAAATTGAATCTTGTCTACATCATTGCAATGTCATTCTCTTTCAAAAAAATAATAATAAAAAAAAGATCATTTTCGATGCTGAAGAATTTTACGGCTCATTTAGAATGTAAATATATCAAGAAAGAATCACCCCTTTTTTCCTATAATGTAAACCAATTTGTAAAATCCCAAATGTTGGAATGCTCATATCTCATAAAATCCTATGTGATGAGCTTCAACTTACCTTATTGGTAACTTTTGGAGAATTGGGCCCATGCCATGTTTTTATCCAAGTTTGACAGTGAATGAAGCAAGAATTGATGAACATTCCCCATTCCGTCGTCTTCTTAAATTCACTAAGTGCATTTAGCAAGGAGCTTCGGAAACCTGAGCCATTTACAGTAGAATACATTGAGATGCATGGACATTCAGTCACAGTTCATAAAACAGTCAAACAAAATAACAACAATAAATCATACAACAACAAATGCTTTCACCAATTTCAAAGCGATCCTCTCTCCAAATTAGCATGAATATAGGTGGGGATTCTCTGTCACTATATGTGATAAAGTAGACAATTAACTATGAACTCCTAAAATGGAAGGTAGCATATCATTTCAACAAGCTCAGCACACTATGAAACCCCAAAATATAATTAAAAACAAGTCCACACGTCCAGTTGATGAAAATCGAAACCCCATCCACATGTGACACACAAAATGATACAAAGAGTTAAGAGAGCGAAACAGTTACAGCAACTTGATAATTGAGTTAAACAGGAAAGATTTGTTATAAGAATATATCTTCTTTCATTTTATACATTACCTTTTAAATTAACTTGGTCCATTTCCAACAAATCCAACAATCATAACTTGCACTAGCCCAACTTAGACACTAAATACAAGAAGTCTAGAACTAACTTAGCTTCCAACAGGATTGTGAAGTTTAGTGGCCCACATATTTGATGATATGAAGAGGCCGCATGTGCATGCTCACTTGAGACAAGCAAGAATATACACATCCCATGAAACCATCTTTGTTATCCCTTAATCCCAAATCTCAATTGTATTATAAGAAGTGGAGATTATTACAAATAAGTCTCATATGCAGTCCAACAAGTCCTATCTAAGATAAGTCAACAAATACTCAATTGCAATAGGTAACTCTTGAAAATTGAGACAAGTCTATAAGGAAGATTATTGCGAAAGGAATACACTACCAACACAGGCAGCCCAAAAGGGGCAAATGGGATCACATTCATTAGAAGGAGCTTCTTTAGGGAGTCAATATGAAAGCAAAAAAGGTCAATTTCTGAAGAATTTGGGAACAAAGTTTTTATCATTTTAGCAAATCATTTTTAATATGAATAGAACAAAAGTTAATCATACAAAATATTTAGCTAACATAACAAATTTTAATTCCAACACAGTAAAACAAGTAACAAAAAAGTAAATTTCTTTTGCCCCTGTATAATTTTCTACCTTGTGTTTCCTTTCAAATCCAACCATCTTAGAAAACCAGACAATCTTGTTAAGCTTAAGCTGCTATTTTTCACATGAAAAAATGTGGAGCTCTTAAAAGTGGTTGATGAGTCGCATTTATTCCACGATTTCAGTTCCATTTCCTTAGATTTTCCCCCATCATCGTCACCTGTTTGCCTCTTTTCTTAGCTTTTTCTCGTGTTTTCTTTCTATGTTGTCAGTTTAGGTGTTTATGCTTTTATTCATAGGCTTCCTTTTTTTTTCCCCTTTAGACTCGTTTTGTTCTTTTTCTGCATTTGTAGGTAGATGGAGGAGAAAGACCATTGTCGCGGCTTGCTTCGATGGTGCACAAAGCAGAGCATCGAGGGGTGCATCACAGGCACGCCAGCTAGTTGAAGCATACTTTTGGATTTGAAGCAGAGAGTTTAAAGCGCCCTCATCACAGCTCCAGCACGAGCGCGCACTGATGTCACGTGGGCGCGCTGCAACACTGCCAGGGTCTGCGTCCGTACCCAGCTGCACGCAGACACACATTCCTTAATCAAGGCGCACTGGACTATTTCCAGATAATTTTGTGCTTTCTTCAAAAGCTTTTTAGTTCTATAGATAGTTCCAATTATTCCTCTTTGGAAGAACAAAGATTTTAATTAAGATCATAATTTTTATTTTAAGCAGATTAGAGAGAGAAGATAAAGAGAGAAACATTTAGCTTTTGCTTTTGGATGATCTTGTAGCCAACTTTTGAAGATTAATGAAGCATCATTAGTAATTTCTTTTCTCTTTTTCTCAATTCTAACTTGCTTATGTCTACAGTCTACTTCATTGCTTAAAATTTCTCATCTTGCTTTTGTTAGTTTCATTAATCCTTCATCCCCTTGTTTAATCCTTTATTTGGTTTGATGATCATGCTTAGTGCTGTTAGCTTCTTGATTAGTGTAATGTTAGCTATGTGTTATGAGTTCTCTTACCTAGGAGTGTGGGGATGGATTAGCTTGGATTATGAGCATGTTTAGGGATTAGGATTGGAGTTTATTGCAAGTAAAGCCTTTATTATTCAAGTTCTACCACATTTTTCTTATAAGCTGCAAATTATATGTGATTTGTGGGTAAGTGAAGTTAGGGATGGACGACAGTGAACTTCGTGAATCTCATTAATCGATTTGTCCTTGTTTGTACCTCTTAATATACGAATTTTATGACGACAGCGTGAGTTTTTATTTTTGGAGCAAATCAACCACTAGTCCACTACCCCCATAAGCTAGGGGGGTTGTATCCCTTAATCGATGAACATGATTAATTTAATTTGCAATGCCTTCCCCTACCCCTAATTCCTTATTGTTATTCATTTGAATAGTTAATCTTGATCCACTCTCTTTGGTGTTTTCTCTTATTGTTCAATTCTCCTATCTTTATTTGCTAGTAATTAATCATTTAGTCAACTTAGTAACCTCTGGCTCTCCTTTATCGGAATTAGCTTAGTTGTTCGACCCTCAACTTATCGCTAAACTTGAGGGTTGAACAACTAGCTTATTTGTTACCTGTGGTTCGACCCTCAACTTATCGCTAAACTTGTTTAGAGATGTGTTTTGGTTCTATAAATATTGTTTGGTTAAAGGATTACAATGACGACATATTTTCCCTTGATCAGTGGTTTCTACAAGCACAGAAGCACAATGGTATCACAAAATAACAACTAAGGATCTTAACTTAGCAGTTTTCGGATATGACATACAGAAGAAATTGATTTTTGAAAAAAGGGAATCGTGGGGCATTCCTAGGAAGTGATACTAGTAATGTATCTAGCCTAGGAGGGCAGCGTTATCAGTTTTTATCAATAAAATTTTTCTTTAATACCTTGTAATATGTCCAGTTGATGGGAATTACAATTTTGAATATTCAGTCTGCATCTTTGCCATTCCTCGGGGAGATCTGATGCAACTGGTATCAAGACATGTTGTATCTGCAAATACTCAAATCATCATAAAAAATACAGAAATATTGCAGAAGTGTTCTTATTATTGAATGAGAAAGCTACCTGCCAAAAATCATATGCTGGATTGACGAGAAATAATGGGGTATTTATGCTTCCAACAATATGTTGAGGAAAAAAACACTGCAATATCATATAATATAATAATCGGTTGTTGTGACATGTCAGTAAGTCAGGAAAGTTCCTCGCATAGTTGCATCAGTTATAGGTAAAAGATGATTACCAAGGATGGCTCCATTTTGGCAACACAATCAGTTGACAATGATTTGGCTGCACCCTAACATATTTAACATATAAATCCATCAATATTGAGTATTTATACTTTGGAAACAATATATATGAGCTCATGTTAAGTATTAGGAATCGTCACAAAAATGTTATACTTATATTTAAGTAAGAAGCAAAGTTGCTCTAACAAAATTTCAGACTAACACGTAATAACTAAGGGGAAATTGGGGAACATCTCTGTCTTTAAAGTGTTTATAGCTTCCTACGTAATCAGATTCTTTAAAAGCTTTAGAAAGCGTTTCTGTAATTTTTCTCACACCAAATATTCCACATCCATCTATGGTGTCAATGCATGTCAGGCACGAGTACAACAAGGTATATACAGAGTTGAGTAGTGCAGAATACTGACAGCGTTGTCTTAATTTCTTTTATACTGCCTAGCTTTCTGTGTTTTAATTTTTAAGGGCAGAGGTGGCAGCAAATATACAAAGTAAATTTGCACCATTAAGAAAATATATTTTTCAGATTGTATTATTCCAAATTATAGGTAATGCTAGTGCAAACTTCTTTCTCAACAACTTTTAAAAATTACTTCTCTCCAGAAAAGTACAGCAAGTCAGCAGACAAAATGAAGGGAACATAATGCCCTTTGTCAATTTCGCACATAAGATTGAAGACATAGAGCTCTCACATGAAGATTAACCACATTCTTATAGAATAACTGCATAGTGCGCCTTCCATTGATATCCTTCCTGAAATAGCAGCAGCAGCATATCAAATTAGAAGCTCAGAATCTGTGTCTATAACCTTATTTTCCCACACCAATAATCTCGATAAATTGTTTATTTTCTTTTATGTTATTTTGCAAAAATCCACTGATAAAAATTCTAGTTTAGCTGTACTCTTTTTTTTAAGCTAATAACATGTCGACACGTGGCAACGTGGACCCCACTTAACAGATTCTTGGACGGAATCAGTTAAGTGGTGGTAAAATCCAAATTTTTAAACTTTTTGTTGTGTTAAAATAAAAGTTTTTTTTTTTTTTCTTTTTTGTAGTGTTAAAAGTCAAATTCGTATTTTTTGGTGGTGTTAAAATTCAAAATTTCCTTAATTTAAATAAAGAAAATTTAAATGGATAACAACTTCTTTTACTCTTAATTAAGATTGTGATGTTCTACATCTTCCCTACCACCCCCAAAAAGAAAGGAAAAAAAATCCGACACATACATGCATACGGCTACATTTAACTTTCAATTTACAACTGTGCCGCACCAAAAAAAGTGGAGAGATGAGTAAACTGAAACATTTCCAATCACTAACAGCCCTTACATTTCTTCCACAACTTCATCAACTAGTGCTCCAAAACTAAAACCAACTATTATTAATTTCACCTCAAATCCTAGAAATTCAACATTCTTCAAGCATCTGTAATGCATTTGACATTGCAACATTAAGAGCATGAACTAATAACACTTCTACCAATTTTTACAAGGCTTTCAGAAAGGAAAAAAGGTTGCTGTGCTTTTGTAGGAAGAAAAATACCAGCATTTAATCTAAGATTCAATGAACAGAAATTCAGTACATAATAAGAAACAGACAAAATAGAAACTTAAACTGTGGTATGATGATAAAAATCTTACAGGAAAAAAAAAAAAAAAAAAAAAAAAAAAAAAAAAAAAAAAATTCATGGATATTTTTACTGAAGACCCTTAAGAGATGTTTGCTGTAAATCAAAGTTAGGGAAAAAGCATACTCGTCAAGGAAAAAACTTGCATCAGCAAGACACTTCACAATAGCAATCTTCGGCAACTTAGCACGAAAGTCATCACAATGTATCATAGTAGCAAGCCCACCGGCAGAGCATCCTGAAAGAAGAGCCTGTGAGATTATCAGATGTAATAGTACGAACTATTGTTTCTCAACCCTCATTCTGATGATATCTGGGAATACGACTTGTATTGTTTGGCAACAAACAGGGAAGAATACCAACTAATTATTAAGCAAACTGACTAAATGTTGTCATGAGAAAGAGAACTAAATTCATTGCATCTGAAGGATATCAAGGTGTCTCATTAAAGAGGTTGGACATCAAAGGAGTGCGCAGAGGGTCCTTTCTACCATTTTCTTTTTAACCCCCCTAATTTGGCAGTTCCAGGCACCACCCTTCCCAAGAAAAAAAGAAAAAGAAAAACGACTTTAAGAAAAGAAATTACAGGAGATATGGACATGAGTAGGTCTTTCAGCTGCATGAATCAATTGGTTCCAAAGTCCAAACGTTACAACCCCCCCCCCTCCCTTACACTCAACCAGTCGGCATACTCGGCAAGCAGACAATACATGTGCATGTATATAGCCAAAGACCTCATATTTTACATGTACATATAAATAAAAGTAAAAAAAATACAAGGATAATACCTGTATAGCATTAGACATTCCCTTAGCTAGAAGTTCATCCATTACTGCTTCCCATATGAGCTGACCTCTAAAGAAAAGAGATGTTCCATTCTAAAGAATTGCCATGCAAAAATAATTGACAAGAAATTCATAGTCAACATTTTGCATATGAACAATGTAATCATTCATCAAACAGTAAGATCATATCATTTTGTCTTACATGAAGTTCATTATTCGGGTGCCCTGTAAAAGATGAACCATCACAATAACGTATCTTGACTTTGTTCCAGTTGAAAAAATCTAGAATTGTCACAAAACAGATACTTCAAGGTAAGAGCAAGAACATTGAATTATACATTTAGAACTCAAAACTAATACTTTCCTGTGATAAGAGTACTCATGAGGATAACCCACAAAAAAAAATTGTGACAAACAAAATTGGAAATGAAATTTCAATACAGGAAATTGTCGATAGAAAATTACAAGGCCAGTTACTGAAAAGCATTAGCAAAATAATTCATGATTCATCAAACAATGGAATTTCATTTAAAAATAAAGATCAGCTAGTTATAACATATTGTAGCCATGACCATCCATCTGGTTTCCTCTTCATTTACTCTTTAAGTAGACTATGATATCTATGTTCAATTTTCCACAACTGAATCAGTTACACTGCATCCAACCTAAAGCATAAGTGAAGGTATGTAGAAAGATATTTCGTGTATTAAATAAATAAATCTAAGATATATGTATATTACACATGCATAAACAATAATTGGAATTTGGAAGATGTTGTAGCAACTACGATTTTATATGTTTAGGAGTCAAGATAGCTGTTAAATTCAACTTCTTGTCGGGGAAATTTTGGGAACAAACATTACAAAGACTAAAGTTAGAAAGAGGTAAGTGTGACTGAATGTAGTTCATAGAGATGTAATAAGTTATTAAGGAACCATTTAATTCAAGTAAGAAAGGGAACGGAACCTCATAAAAGAATTAGGAAGAAAGGAAACGAAGATAAGAAAACTGAATAAAATTTTTAATTTGAGTAGGCTATATGATCATTGTCCTTTGGTCCACTTCAATAAAAAAGATATTTCAAACCCCCTTTCCTTCACCTCACTAGCCACAAGCCTCGCCAACAAACTCCTCTCCTTTAAAATCTTCCTACCCCAGGGCATCATCAATAGCTACACATCACCAAGCAAAATTCATCTCTCGCCAGCTATCTTCTTCATGAAGAGAAATCATTGTCATTATAGTCACCTAATCTTCTTTCTCTTCGCCATTCAAGAGATTTCAAACCAGCTTTGGAAGTTTAATTAAGATTCAGGTATTGGAGAGTGCTTGGTTGAATTCAAGCACCTAATGGCCAATGCCCATATTAATTTTCGTCTCTAGCACCACCAGCCTAATCCTTTCCAGCATGTTCTCCATCATCGCCACCCTATGTCAGCCATACGCCCATACCTTCCTCCACAATCCACCCTTCACCTCAGTATCAAGAGCAGTCTCACTCTTGTTAGTACCATCCACATGAGCCCAAAACTCCCAAAACCATCAACTGTCTCCAGGACCTTCTCACCAAACCACTCTGCCTCTACTTCATTAGAGTTCCCTCTCCTAAGTACCCCTAACAATCCCAAGCACGGTGCCCTCGCATTCTAGACAAGGTAGTTGCACTGACTCCATCACCCACCACACTATTCCCCTCAGATCAACCTTATTCTTGAAGTCACTGCCTAGGAACCAGGCACCACAATCTCATTCACCCACCGCCAGACAGATTGAGAGAGAAAATTAATCTTTAGTCTTGAACATACCAGATCATGTGAAACAAAACTGAATGAGAAATTGATGTGAATCCCAAGGAAGAGTAGGGCAATCAAATTAAGGTAAATGAGACAAATCCATTCAAAGGAACAAAAAAACATAGTGAACTAGACACTAACAACAAGAAAGTAGGATAATACTCCTTCCCATTTTTTCATTAGTGACTCCCAACCAAACGACCCGATTGATCATAAGAAATTGGATATATCATCCCTTCGATGCATCATATACACTTAAAAACAGGTAATTGGGGACAATTTTGAAAGATTTATAGTTTATACCAGGATTCTGTGCTGGATCATTGCTCAAAATTCCAGAAAATTGAACTTGTCGATCCATGTATTCTGAGGAACCCAATGATGTCGCTTTCCTTAGTAAACATGTTTCAATTGAATCACACCAACCTCCACCCTATAAGATAAATAATAAAAATTAAAAACAATAATAATAATAATTATTCCCAAATATAGGAAGAAAGGCTGTCGTTACTCATATGGATTACTCCCTTAGTCTCAATTCACTTGTTGCATTTGACCAATTTTAATTAAAGCTTTTTGGTCAAAATGCAGCAAGTGAAATGAGATGGAGGGAGTACAAAGAATCCTATCCAGAAACGTTAACCAGATGAAATCTTGAGGAAAGAAAATCAGATGTATTGAGTTTGAATCTTGCTTGCAAAACCATGTAAGAGGATAATCAAGTCTAGTAATTCTATAATCGTATCTTTGACGGTCATTTAGGGATCTTAGTCATTTCAAACAAGATAATGGCCATTGAAGGTACTTTTTGAGGACAATAATGGTAATTTCTTGTGTACCATAATGAAGGTATATAAAACCATTAGTGTTAAGGGTAAAAATACCCATGACACGTGGACCAATGCAGTGACACGTGTCCCTCAAACTCAGTGCTCAGAGAGCCAATTGGAGCCTGACACGAGGCACCTAGCTGTGACAGGTAAAAACAGGCTTTTAGCCTAAAATTCAAGAAACTGTAAAAAGGTGAAAAGCGTAATTACTTAGGTTAATTGACCTAAAAGGTGTGCATATCAATGCACTATAAACCAAAAAATCAAAGCCTTAATCCCATAAGTAGGGTCGGCTACATGAACCAAAAGTGATTATTCCGTATAGTCATCCACAAAAATCTTCCCCCACCATTCCTTGCGATCAAATGCATCATTCTCACGCAAATCCATATATTTCATATCCTTCCTCCTAACTCCTTCCAACCAAGTCATTTTCGGTCTACCTCTCCCTCGTTTAACCCCTCCATGATATCAATGCACTATAAATAATGGTTATTATTGATCAGTAATAAATTACGCACGCACACGCAAACAGAGATAATTACTTTGCGGAAGTATACTTTACTGATTTACTATTTTATTCCGGTACCACCAACTTGATCATCGAAGGCGAAACTCCTATACACCGGAGTTTCGTTGATTTGCAGGTCTGCAGGACACCAGGCGGACTCATATTCGGTATTGTAACTCTCCCGCATGACATCCAAAAAACCCCTAAACAATTAGAGTATGTAATCTCGTTAGTAGTATTAGATCTTACAATGGTGTAAGTGATGATGTATCATCTACACATTTTTATACCATTAGAAAAAAATATGCACCAGTACATCATCTAGTGGTACTATTTACCTATTTGGTGACATCTTACACATACATCAATATTTACAAAAATAACATGTTATATGTTTGCAAATCAAAACTACCTCCGCTTCATGAAACCACTGTTTTGACCATTAATTTTTGTACATATCCATTAGTAAAAAGTTATAATAAAAATAATTTTAAGAAAATTGAAAATACACTAAACACAATCCAACACTATTTTACATATTAGTATTAAATTATTATATACAAGTAAAAAAATTTAGACAATATTAATACATAAATAAATAAAATAGTGTAAACGTCAAAACAGTGCATGTACTGTGAAACGGTGATAGTATTAGATACTGATTAGGACTTCCTCAGCACAAACATAGTTAGGACTCAAGCTTCTTACTCTTTAAGAGGGTTACCTAACCTAATACGCAGTACACTTCAGTATGAAGAACAGGTACGAGAACGCAATACTCTACCTAATCATTTTAAATTAGCCCAAAAGTATTTCAGCATACCAGCATTCACGTTCCTAATACGAATATTGTGGAGGGGGAGGCTGGAGTATAAGGTAACATCTTCAATTGGGCAGATACAAAATGTAGGCAACAAGGGATTTATTAAAATCTTGGAGAATCCTTAAGGACAGAGCCTTTCTCTATTCCTTCTTCATGAATTTATCAATTGTCCACAACTTGATTGTTCTATTTAAAGATGAGCACTATAGTCTTCCTACTTGGAACTTTCCAGATAGCAAGAAACCATGATTAAATGTCAAACATTTGATAATAAAGGTGAAAACAGGTGGGTTTAAATGAGATGAAATGATGAATATATATATATATATATATATATATATATATATATATATATATATATATATATATATATATATATATATATAAAATAAATAAATAAATAAAGGAGAGGAGGAAACTATTGCCCTTATATGAGTGTAATAATTCTTATCATACTCCTGTCCCAGCACCACATCCCATAAATCACCATCTACTTAACTTCATTTTCTTAGTTTCACTTTTATAACCACGTAATTGTCCTACCATAATCTAAGCATGCCCTTGAAATTAATACGGGATGTCGGGAAGTCAAAACAAAGTTGTTAGATCTTCTAGAGCTGGCTTAGTTCTCAACCCTGTATGTCTAAATTGAACCCCGATTCTGAGTTCAATTTTCAATCATCTGCCATAACCCCAAACCGACTATGCAAAAACCTTATAAGGCTACCAAATTCAAACCTAAGAATACTAAAAATACGGCTCACTAAGTTCAAATACATTCAAATATGTTTGGTGTTCAAGTGAAAAGAATGAACCATAGTCTATTGTCAAACCCATTTGATAATATGAACAAGCAAGCAAAGAAATCCTAGGAAGTACTCTGAATCAACTGATAAAATGCTCTTACAGCTCTTTTCATGAAGAGAATAGAAAGAATGACTAAAACACAATCACAATACCAACCACAATCACAAGATGATGACGTGACAAAGAAATTTGTTGGAAAATCAAACGTTTCCACATTCACACCCAAATTAACTAAAATCTTTCATCATTAATTAACAATATAATGAAGCCATAAATAAACAACATAATTTAAAAACAAGGAAAAAACGTTGCTACTGTAAAATTAAGCGTAATTTATGTAAGCAATATGAAAACTTTCCACGAAACAAACACAAATCCAACCTCAATGTGAAGAACCCATTTGTCAGATCCGGATCCAAACCCATTCTGGAAATGATATCCGGGCAAACTCCCATCCAAGCAAACTGCAATTTGAATAATAAAATTGAAAATAAAAGATGGGAAATTCCCAAATTCCAATTAAATAAAATAGTTTGAGAATAAGGGAAGATTAAACTTACAGGCTCCTCTTTGCTTGGCATTGCGAAGGAGAGTTAATGGGACATAATCAGAGTTAAGAGTGATGAGTGCAGTTTTTTTAGGGGAATTGAAAATGAATGAGAAAGAGAAAAATATGAGTGATAAACCAACAATTGCAGTGATTATGTCCTTTTTGCTTAATTTTCTACACCATGCAAGTGTTGATATTCTTGAGATGGCCATTATTTGGTGAATTTTAGAGCTTGCATCTAGGAATGACAAACATGTTCATTCCGAAATTTGGTCAGTGGAGTAAGGAAAAAAATTATCAGGGACGCTCAACTTCTAATTGTACTTTGACTTTTTGTGGGGGTTTGGTAAAGAGTTTACACTCTTTACAGGACATAATATTATGGAGTAGTTGATTAACCACTAAGCTACCTGAAGTGTTTGGTGAGAGTGTAGGATATCTCAAGTGGTTAGAGCTCTCTCCCGGTTTCAAGTAATGTGGGATTAATTCTCATCACCCGCCCTTGTGACTCTCTAAACACCCATAAGTGAAGTGTTTGGTGGTGAGTCGTGAGCTGAAAGAGTCGGTTCCATATTTCCACTAAATTAGGTCAATTTAATAACCCGCTTAGAGGAGCTTTTGGAGAAAAAACAAGTTTATTTATGATATGGGATAAACAATTTTTGTCGATCATATGCATTTTCGTAAATAAATCAATGATGACTGGATAAAGTTGATGATTTATTTATCAAAATGTCATGTGATAAACAATGTGTTTATCACAGAGACTAAACTAGGCTTCCTTGAGTTTTTGTCATTTAGCTTATTCAGATAAAATAAGTGAATTGACAAGTACACCCTCATTTAACCCAAAACATTATTATAATAAAATATGTCAGTGCCTTTATTGGTCATTTTGCACACTCCAACAGCTTTAAGAAATTAGGCCCCGTTCACTTCACCTTATTTTTGCTGAACTTAAATTATTTTTACTGAACTTAAATTATTTTTGCTGAATTTAAATTATTTTTATAGAACTGAAATTAATTTTACTAAAGTGAAACTAATTTTTGCTGAACAGAAATTATTTTTTACTGATTTTCTATTTTGTTTCTTCTTTAAGTTTATTGATTATTACTGAACTGAAATTATTTTTACTGAACTGAAATTATTTTTGCTGAACTGAACTTATTTTTACTGAACTGAAATTAATTTTACTCATAGTTATTAGAATCGCGATCCGGATAGTAGGATCGTACGATCCTACGATCCAATTTTTACCAAACGATCCGGATCATTAGCAAAATTGCAATTAAGGTGGGATCGTAGTAGGATTGGGTAGGATCGTATAGGATCGGTAGGATCGTACGATCCCATCGATCCTACCCGATCCTGCAAATCAACTAAATTATGGGGAATTTTGGCCAAAGTTTGGTAGGATCGTTGTAGGATCAGATAGGATCGCGTAGGATAGTGTAGGATCGTACGATCCTACTAGATTTTTAGATTATTTAGTTTTTTAATTTTTTTTTTTGGGTTGTATTGTCGTAAACATGGTTAATTATTTCAAAATTATTGGTTTTAGTATCAATTTTACCCCGAATCACATGTAATAAGTATTATTATTGTCTTTATCACCTCTTTTACTAGTTTTTATAGGATCTTACGATCCTTCGATCCGATTTTACTGATCCGATCTTATCACCCTTTTCCAATCTAAAGTAAGATCCCGAAACTGATAACAAAACTGAAATTATTTTTACTGAATATTATTTTTTTAAGGTGAAGAGAATAGGGCCTTAGTCATTAGCCAAGTACTTTTTTACAATTAGTTAGGTCTTCACCTTAAAATAATAATATTCAGTAAAAAATAGTTTCAGTTCAGTAAAAATAAGTTAAGTTCAGCAAAAATAATTTCAGTTCAGTAAAAATAAGTTTAGTTCAGTAAAAATCAGTAACTTTAAAGAAGAAATATAAAAGAGAATCAATAAAAATAATTTCAGTTCAGCAAAAATAAATTCAGTTTAATAAAATTAATTTTTTTTTTTTTTTTTTTTTTTTTGCTTCAAAGTGCCTGTCTATCACATAGACTTAGGCCTTGTTCAAATTAACTTTACAGGAAAAATATAACAGAGAATAATTTTAGTAAAAATAATTTCAATTCAGCAAATTAATTTCAACTTAATACAATAAATTCAGTTCATAAAAAATAAGGTAAAGTGAACATGCCTTAACTCATACTATGTACTCCCTCCGCCCGCTATTATCTGCAACATTTACCTAAAATGGATGCTCTCTATTATTTGCAACAAAAATTTTTTTTCCTCTTTTGGTAAATTTTTACCAGGAAATTGACAGTTTTACCCTTAGTTAAAAATTTTAACTTTGATTATAATTGATTAATGACACACATTTAACACCTAACCAACCCCCCCCCCTAATGATTCCCACCAAATTATAACCCCTCATCACCATCCTTAAATCTGCCAACCACCTCATTCAATGAACTTCATTGAATTTCCCTTGAAGATGCTGCCTAGAAGCATTGAATTCTTCTGGAATTCTCCAGATTTTTTGATAAACCCTTTTCGCATCCCCCTTTTCTCTTTCTTGTCTCACCCCTTCTCTCTCGTCTTCTCTCTTTGGTGTTCTTCGTATTCTCTATGCGAAACCCTAAACACACAATTCTTCAGATCTCTTCAGAATTATAATTATGAGTAACCTCCAAGATCTGAATGAGTCTCCTAAACGAAAGACCCCAGAGAGTGAAACTGAGCCATATTTCACTCGCTACAAGTTGCAGCTAGGTACTGGGATCTTGAAACCAGTTCGTCGGTGCTCTTCCTCCTTTTCCAGATTCAGTCATGGTAAAAGACGGGCGAAACTGGTTGAGAACACCAGTAGTGGTGAAGAAAAGGAGGAGGGTGCGACGCTATTCTTAGAGAAGAAGGATGTTGTGGTCATTCCTGACTCTCCGGAGGGTTTTTCCAGTACAGATCTACCACTTAAGGGGGTCCGGAAGGAACCAGTGGTTAGGGTTGTACACCGGTCCAAAACCGGACCGGACCTGGACCGGACCTGTTAGGACCGGGACCTGAATCAGCCAATTCTGAGGACCGGGGACCGGACCTGATTCAGCAGGTCCGGGTCAGATCCAGACCTGAGCAATCAGGTCCGGGTCAGGTCCAGACCTGAACAGACCTGTTTTGTGTGTTTTTTTTTTTTGTTTTTTTTTTAAAGAAAATAAATAACCTGTTGGACCTAATTATAGACCTGTTTACATAAAATCTGAAAATATCAATGACAAAAACTACATAAAATCTGTAAGTCTCAAATATAACAAATAATTCATTAAATTACATAAAGTCTCTAAGTCTCAAATACTAGAAATACATAAATTATCCAAAGACAACTTGAATTTTGGCGAGTTGCTTTCCCTTCGATTGCGTGATTCACACTAATGAGTCAACGAAAACAACTTCATCGTCTCCATCGTTAGATACATCATGTTGCACCTCTAAATAAAAAAACATTATAGAATATATTAATGAATGATAACAATGAAATAATAAATTTGGTGTAACAAAATTACAAGTACATAAAATTAATACTACCTTTCTCCATTTCTTGTAACTTTTTCAAATTTTCTTCCATATCCTCTTACTTTTTCTGTTCCATATGTATTCCCTCTCCGCTTTTAACTTCTTATCTGGAGGCAAAGTAGATTGCAATTCTTCCATATCCTTTTCAAAAAGTGGCTGTGACATTTCTTGAGAAAAAGCAGCAGATCTTTTGGATTGAGAGCTCTCTATCTTCAATATAATTATACACAATCTTCAATATAATTATACACAATATAAGTAATTTTTAAGTAACAATTATAAACACATAACATTTTATAAAAAAATGTGAGAACAACTTACATTGCAAGAGTAAGAATCTGTGGTTCTTGTTGATCCTAAACATATAAAACGATAGAATTCAATTACAATTCAAATTGAATTCACAAAATAAACAGAATACATACAAATATACAATACACCAACAAGGCAGCAAATTCTACAATATGAACTAAATTCGAAAGAAACAGATTTTAAACAGATTTATCAATCTACTTTAAACAGATTTATCAATCTTTTCTGATTTATCAATCTACTCCCAGAAAATTCACGGAATAAACAGATTTTAAACACACAAATCGAAAGAAACCAAAATTCAACATGCATTCGAAACAAATGAACTAAAATAATTAAAAAACAGTTACTTAAAATAAATAAAAAAAACCTCAAAAAAAAATCATGAATTTGAAAAAAAATGAACTAAAAAACAGAACTTGCAAACATCAAACAATCATAATAAGCAATTGAAATACAAAATACCCAATTCAAATATAATCAGATTTAATTTAAAAAAAAAAAGAACTTACAGGATACCAAAATTCAACATGCATTCGAAACAAATGAACTAAAATAATTCAGAAACAGTTACTTAAAATAAATAAAAAAAACCTCAAAAAAAAATCATGAATTCGAAAAAAAATTAACTAAAAAACAGAACTTACAAACATGCAAACATCAAACAATCATTATAAGCAATTGAAATACAAAATACCCAATTCAAATATAATTAGATTTAATTAAAAAAAAAAAAAAGAACTTACAGTGAGATGCAGATGCAGGGTGTAGTCGTCGACTCGTCGTTGCAGGATGTACAGCGTGTAGTCGCTGCTGGTCTGGACGTCTGGTGGGCGGTGGCGACTTCCGACTTGTGTCTGGGCGCCTGGCGGTGGTCTGGAGGGAGTGGGTGTTGCCGTGTGTGCTTGTCGGCTAAGAGAGAGAGAGAGAGAGAGAGGAGTGAGTTAGGGTTAGTGTGTTAACAAAAATGAAACTGACTTCTTTTGAAATTTGGGAATTTTTTTTTTTTTATAAAAAAACGCATTTTTAACGGGTTTCAGGTCCAGACCTGAAAACCCCGGGTTTGGACCTGATCCGGACCGGGACCGGAAACCTTGATTTTCAAGGACCGGGACCGGACCTGAATCTACAGGTCCGGGTCAGGTCCGGTCCCAACAGGTCAGGGTCAGGTCGGTTTTCAGGTCCGGTCCTGTTCATGTACACCCCTACCAGTGGTGGTTGTTGACCTTCCTGACTCCCCGGAGGAGGTGACTATGGTCTTCGCTGACCCTCCAACTGCTACGACCACCCTTGGCTCCGACAGTGGGAGGAAAAGGTCCAAATCTGTGTTCACCGACGACTTCAGTCAGTGAGACCCTGATTTCATGAACTATCTAAGGGACAAATACCCTCATGACTTCCCCCCCACAAACTGATGTTGCAGCGTAACTGTTACTAAACCCTAACTTTGTTTTTCAGTTTTTTTTATTTTGCTTTGCCTTGTGTAAATTGTTGTTGTTGGTGCATATCATTGTGAAACGCATGTGATGTGTGTGGGTGTGAGTCCCTACAAGTGTTTGTTGCTGGATTATGATGATTGCATGTGTTGTTTTGGAATCTTGGATTATGCTTAGTTCTGTGAAAGACGGTTTCTTGTGTACACTTCTAGTTTTTTATTCTGTTGGATGGTTGTTTGTGTACGTTGCTGGATATTGATTTAGTATGCCTGGTTATGTACTCGTGCATTGATTCTGTTGGATGGTCTGTCTTGGATGGATTCTGGTGGATGTTCTTTGTTGGATTTGGTTTTCTGTTTGTAGTGTTGGAATGGCCAAGGGAATGCATGATTGATGGATGATGGGTTATGTTGGATGCTTGTTTGTGTACAGACCCATTTGAATGTTGCCTAGTTGAGCTTGCAAGTCTGTGCCTGTGTGTTTGTGTATGAGTCCCCCATAAAGTATGTTGTGTGTGAATAAATTCCAAATGATGAAGGGACTCACTTTGAGTTGGATGTGTAGGTTTGTTTTGCTCCAACAAGTGCCTTTTAACTCTTGTTGTTGAGGTAACAACCTACACCATGCCACTGAAAAAAAAGCAAAATCCCCGATGGAATTCATAGTTCAATATTCATACTGAAATTCATTTAATACACTTCAAAAACTTACATTTTCACATTCCCTACACATAATCATTCATTACATGACTGCCTGAAAAAAGGAAATTATATCTACCAAAATACACATAACCAAATCATTATAAGCATCAACAAAAAACCAGTTGCTTACTTTACACAAAAAGCAGTTGTGAGTCCATATTTGGTTATGTGTGGAAGTCATGTTGTAATTGAATAATAGTGTTATACCTAGTCTGCATCAACCTCTGTCTCCATGTAGTCTGCATTCTGTTGATTAGTTGGAATAAAAAGTGTGTTGAGGTGTTCAACTGCTTGTTGAATGAGTCCCCTTTCAACTTCCAAAAACTCTGGCAGAAGACCTAGGCTGTCCAACCTTTTCTTGCCCATGTGAGGTGGATTGAAGTTGTTCCCCCCTTCTTTCTCTAGAATCTTTTTCATTACACTTTGCAAAGTGATCCATGAGTACTTGTTGAGTACTGGATCAAACCATTCATAAACCTCATAGACTTTCTCTATTAACTCTTCAATTTTAGTGGGAAATGACTGGTATTGCAAGGATTGAATGACCTTGAACAAACCAAGATCCAGAACATTAAGATCTGGAGATTGTGTTGGCTGGAATATCATTTGGATGTTGAATCCATGTGTTGTACATGCTGCAATGAACTATTCATCCCTTGGAATTTGTTGTGGCTTAGCATTGTCCCATTGAATGTATATGTCCTTAGACAGACTGGGATGCCATTGCATGTGTAGGGATGGAATGATGTTTGTCAACAACATTTTCCTGATTTCTTCTTTGGTCACACTTTGCACAACCTTTGTCTCCATCACCCCTGCATCTCTATTCTTGCTTTTCTTCTTTGCCATTTGCTGGTAGGTGAATGGAAAAATTCCATACTTACCATCATGTAGCGTATTGCCACTTAAGTCATAAAGGGGCTTACCAATCATTCCCATGAACATTGCCTTAATCTTGTATCTCTTGGACTGTTGACATCTATATGGGTTTTCTTCCTTTGGTAAGAGGTAGAACCTCCTTGTTTCTGGGTTCATATAGAACCATTTTTCATCTATGTGTATAACCTGTTGCATATCAATGAAAGTTGAATCTCCAACTACTGGGATTGGGTGAATATGGGTGTAGGGTCTTTTAAGCCCTTTTTTCCATCTTTTCTTCTATATTTCTCCTTTCCTTGGCTTCTTTCTACCATCTTCTTGCTTCTAACCTCGGTTTTGTATCCATGGGCTTCATTTGGTCGTCTTTGAACCTAGAACCTCAACAAAAACACTAACAACCCGTGAAGCATAGGATACACAAAAATTGCATAATAATAGAGTAAAAGTGAACCAAAACACAAATTTTATCAAGTAAACTAGGTTCAAAAACACCCTAAAATCATATCAAATAGCAAGTTATCAATGGGCTAATGCCCACTTGAGTCTTGCCACTTTGTGATTTGATGTGAGTGCTGGATGGTTGGCGCTTGTATGTGTTCTTAATTTGCCCTTTTTTTTCAAGCTATGGAGGTATCCATGTGATACTTTCAGAGCAGTTGCATAACTCCTCTTTGTTGTCCTTTTGTATAGAGGCACTGATTCATTAGTTATAATTCTAGGTTTGGGTCCTGTTTTCCCCAATTTTTTGCTTCTGACATCAATGACATTTCCTTGTGCTATGCTTTCTCTTACAAACTGCCAGACCCTCATTGATGTGCTTCTGTGTATCCCATATTTTCTTGCTATTTGTGACAAACACCTTCTGGGTAGTTCCCCACCATGCATGTGCAGTAGGAAGTCATCAACAATTTGGCATTTCTGCTGCATTGTTAATTGCTTTCTACTTGTTGGTTGTGCCTGTGCTTCATGTTCCTCTTCACTGTTGTCCCCCTCACTGTCTTCATCTATGCTGTCATCATCTGTGTTATACTCCAATGGTCCCTCATTTATTAGTTGGTCTATGTCAAAAAAATCCTGATCATAGTACTCCTCCATGTGCTGTGTGTCCCTTTCTCTTTGCTTGCACAGATTTGAAGGATGGTGATGAAGTTTTTGGCTGCTGATTTTTTTGGAAGTGGTGTTGAAGCGAAACCCCGATGCTGCCCTTAGTGTAGGACTAATTGTAGTGTAGACAGTTCATATTTTGACTTAACAAACTTGTAATTTATGGGGTATTTTGTGAACAATGTTGGAAGGTTTGAATAGCCATGGTGGGTGTTGATTAGGGGATTTTGCTCCCACCAATCGGAATGCGCCATGTGGGCCAATCAGGTCCTGCCAAGTGTCCCCCAGTTGGAACTGTCAGGGCTTGCCACGTGGCACGCGCTTATTCGTCCACCTTGGACCTGTTATGTCATGACATGTGGCATACTCCATGCCTAATGGAGAAACCGGCCACCCAGGCCCAACTTCCGAGGGAAGCCCAATCGGCCCTAGGTTAACCTAAACCTAGGATGGGCACGTTTCCCAAGGTTATAAATACCTCCCTTAATCCTCATTAAGGGGGATTACAGAAACATAACGGAAAAAACACATTAATTACACACAGTAATAACCGGCTGATCTCGCTAACAAAGCAGATTACCTACATTAAACACTCTCACCTAGAGAGACCTAATCTCTTTAATTTCTGCACTAATTACTCCTTAATCAAGTACTAACTTGACCGTTGGA